TGGTGCATAAACATGCCGGCCGGCCCAGGACTGTGAGGTCAAGTTGTTTAGACAAGGTGACTGGTCATGGCCCTGGCTCTCATGTAAGAACTCCGACTGCGCAGCCTTTTACTTCTGCTGTGTGAAGGGAGAAGGGTTGGGAGAGTTGGGGAGTGCGGGTGTAGGGGCTGTTTCTAAAGCCGCCTTGAATGGGGGCAGAATTGTTGGTCTATGGGGTCAGCTAAGTTTCCTTTTGAAAGTTTATAAAGTGGTTTGGTTAGTAGGGCAGAACCTGGTATTCCAGCCTACAACATCTAGGAGGAAGAGAAGCTGTGGTTTAGTGGTTGGGGTTGGAGTTTGGGAAATTAACTGGATATGGCTGGCAGGGAGATCTTGTGTGTATGCTGGCGAAGGATTCTACTGAGATAGGTAACGGATGGGCTTTAGAAAAAAGCATTTTTGAGGTCAAGAACAGAGTAGTGAGTTGTGGGGTATGGAAGATAGGAGGGTATAGGGGTTTGGTACAACCAGGTGGATGGGAAGTACAATCTGATTGATGAAGCAGAGGTTTTGGACTAGTCTGTAGAATTTGTCAGGTAGGATAGGGGAATTGTAAGGAGAGTTAGTGGTAACTAAAAGGCCATGTTGTAGTGAGTAATAACAGGCTTTAGGCCTTTTAAGGTTTGTGCTGGGTTGGGGTACTGGCGCTGGACAGGATAAGGGTGGTTAGGTTTTAAGGGGATGATGAAGGGTGAGTGAATTCTGGCAAGGGATGGGGAGGTGGTTTCCCACACCCTAGGGTTAAGGTAGGGAGACATACCTTATGTCTCAGGTGTGAGTAGGGCGGCAGTGAGGTGTGGCTATAGCCCAAGAATAGTTAAGGCAGACAATTTTGTTAGGATATCTTGGCTTATCAGGAGAACTAGACAAGTGGGGACCTAAGATTAGGAAAGAATGTGGAATGGAGTGCTGGCCTAATTGACACCAGACTTGGGGAGTTTTGAGAGGCCTGGAGGCCTTGCTGTCAATTTCCACAACAGTTATGGAGGCCAAGGAGACAGGTCCTTGTAAAGAAGGTAGCATGGAGTGGGTGGCCCCCGTGTTGATTAAGAAAGAGATGGACTTACCCTCCGTGATAAGAGTTACCCAAAGCTCGGCGTCCATGACGGTCCAGGGGGCCTCCAAGATGTTCCGGCAGCATCAGTCTTCAGCCACTAAGCTGAGGAGAGCAGGGAAAGAGCCTGAGGGCTATGGGGTTGGGCTCTTGGAGCCTTAGAGACAGTGGTTTGAGTCGGGCAGTCTGCCTTCCAGTGGGGTCCCACACGGATGGGACATGGTCTAGGAGGAATCCCTGGCTGTGGGCATTCCTTGGCGCAGTGGCCAGGTTTTCGGCATTTGAAGCAAGGCTTTCAGGGAGAAGGTCCTGAAGAGAAGCCTGGATGCTATGGGTCTGGTGATCTGAAACTTCTGTAAGCTGAAGGAGAGGCTGGGGTCTGTCTTACAGCTGAGGCTAGCATTTGTAATTCTGAAATATGCTGCTGCTTGGCAGCTTCTTCTCAGTTATTAAACACCTTAAAGGTGAGGTTGATTAGTTCCGGTTGTGGGGGTTGAGGGCCAGATTCCAATTTCTGTAGCTTTTTAAATGTCAGGGGCTGATTGGGTGATAACATGCATATTAAGCATTCTTCAGGGATGAGAGTAGAAGGATGACGTTTAAGTCACTCCAGGTGAGATAACAGGACTGGGTTAAGTATTGGAACTCTTGTATATGTTTAGTAGAATCTGATGAAAAGGAGCCTAACTGTTGGCCAATTTGGGAAAGGTCAGATAAAGGAATGTGCACCATAACTATGCCTTTGGTTCCAGCCACCTCTCAAAGGGGGAATTGTTGGGCAGGGGTGGAGGAGGTAGCTGCAGAACTAAAGTGTAAGCTGGACCAGGTATGGGGGGGGAGGTGACAGGAGGGGCATAAGGAAGCGGGTTGTGGGCAGAGGAAGAGGAGGGAGCCTGCGGGGGCCGGCGGGGGGGTTGGGGGTGGGGTGCAGTTAGGGCCTGGTTTGGACAGGCAAGGAGGAGAACGGTCAGAAGAGCTGATGGACAAGGAGGATTCTGGGTCACCGGCAGAGGCAGGAGGGTCGGATGGAAGGTAGAGAAGGAAAATTTGGGATGAGTTGCATTGACAGCAGAGATTAGGGAGGGAATGGAGTGTAAAAAAAATGCCTGGACATCGGGCACCTTAGGCCATTTGCCCATTCGTTGAGAAAAATTGTCTAGATCTCACAGAATAGAAAAATCCAAAGTGCTGTTTTCTGGCCATTTGGAACCATTGTCTAATTTGCATTGAGGCCAGGCTGTGTTACAGAAAAACTTACACGTTTAGGTTTCAAATGTGGCAACAGTCGAAGAGGTTTTTAGGATGCAGGCTAGAGACGAAGACAGGAATAGAGGACAGAATATTGCCCACAGCAAAGGAGATAAGTTTTTTTTTTTTTTTTTTTGAGACAGAGTTTCGCTCTTGTTACCCAGGCTGGAGTGCAATGGCGCCATCTCGGCTCACCGCAACCTCCGCCTCCTGGGTTCAGGCGATTCTCCTGCCTCAGCCTCCTGAGTAGCTGGGGTTACAGGCACGCGCCACCATGCCCAGCTAATTTTTTTGTAGTTTTAGTAGAGATGAGGTTTCACCATGTTGACCAGGATGGTCTCGATCTCTTGACCTCGTGATCCACCCGCCTTGGCCTCCCAAAGTGCTGGGATTACAGGCGTGAGCCACCGCGCCCGGCCAGGAGATAAGTTTTAAGGCAAGGAGTAGAGAGGATGAGAAGGAGCGAAGCAGCTACCAGGGTCTTTAGTAGGCATCCCTGACTAACTCCTGGGCCGCAACATGGTTGAGTGGTCAGGGCAGACATCCCTGCGATTGACCAGACACCAAGGGAAGACTGTCTTCCTGAGTCTGTGACCAACATTCGAGTTTTTGAGCCCACGGATAAAGTGTGTGTCGTTTGCCTCTACTTAAAGAGGGAGACTTGTCTCCTGTTCTCTACCTAGGAGAAAGATTGAAAGGAAAAGAGAGGGCCGGGCATGGTGGCTCAAACCTGTAATCCCAGCACTTTGGGAGGCCCAGGCGGGTGGATCACTTGAGGTCAGGAGTTAGAGATCTGCCTGGCCAACATGGTGAAACCCCATCTCTTTTTTTTTTTAAAGAGAAAGGGAGAAACTGCTTACCCAATCTGAGGATGGCAAGAGGGTTGTTGGGCTGGTCTGATGTACTGAGGTCACAGATGGGTCTCTTCACAGAGGGAGAGTGGGGACAGGGGGCTGGTCTCCCCCAAAGGGGAGTACCACTGTCCTGGGTTTCAGCACCAAATGATAAGCACACTCTGAATGAAGAAACCCCCTAAACAGACTTTGTATAAGCAACATGTCTGTTTATTCACCCAGGGGCGGGCTGAGTCCAAAAAGAGAGTCAGTGGAGGGCAGTGGATACGAGTTGGTTTTATAGGTTTGGGGTTGGCAGTGGAAAGTTACAGAAGTTACAGTTCAGGGCAGTTTTTGCAAGCTGGGAGGAGGTCATTGAGTCTGGAGTCACAAGGTTGACCTGTCAGTTGAGCAAGGTCTGTTACAAAGTCCAGTTGCCTGATCAGTTGAGGCAGAAATAAGGAATAGAAGAATGTTTTAAAGTTAATTAGGCACTGCAGGGTTGGTCATTCTTCTCTTTTTGTGTTTTTCCAGTTACTTCAGGCTTTCTAGTTCCAGGAACTCCTCTGGAGGTGTATGTGCAGGTCACAGAGGTTACCATGCCATCCACGGCACAGTTGGCCTAAAAGACCTTCCATGTGGGCCAGGCGCAGTGGCTCATGACTGTAATCCCAGCACTTTGGGAGGCCAAGGCGGGAAGATCACCAGGTCAAGAGATCGAGACATCCTGACCAACATGGTGAAACCCCATCTTTTCTAAAAATACGAAAATTAGCCGGGCATGATGGTATACACCTGTAGTCCCAGCCACTTCAGAGGCTGAGGCAGAAGAATTGCTTGAACCCAGAAGGCAGAGGTTGCAGTGAGCCAAGATGGCTCCACTGCGCTTCAGCCTGGTGACACAGTGAGACTCCATCTCAAAAAAAAGACCTTACATGCACAGGGACGAACCACAGCCAGCCAGTTGTTTCTAAAGGAAGGACACTGGTTTATATTGAGCCCCTTGTGTTTGAGGCACCCTCCCCTCTCTTTTTTTTTTAAGATGGAGTTTCACTCTTGTTACCCAGGCTTGGAGTGCAATGGCGCCATCTCGGCTCACCACAACCTCCGCCTCCTGGGTTCAAGCAATTCTCCTGCCTCAGCCTCCCGAGTAGCTGGGACAACAGGCACACGCCACCATGCCCAGCTAATTTTTGTATTTTTAGTAGAGACAGGGTTTCACCATGTTGACCAGGATGGTCTCGACCTCTTGACCTCGTGATCCACCCGCCTCGGCCTCCCAAAGTGCTGGGATTACAGGCGTGAGCCACTGCACCCGGCCTTTTTTTTTTTTTTTTTTTTTTTTTTAAGATGAAGTCTTTCTGTCACCCAGACTAGAGTGCAGTGGGGTGATCTCTGCTCACTGCAATCTCCACCTCCCGGGTTCAAGCAATTCTCCTGCCTCAGCCTCCTAAGTAGCTGAGATTAGAGGTGCCTGCCACCACACCCAGCTAATTTTTTATTTTTAGTAGAGATGGGGTTTCACCATGTTGGCCAGGCTGGTCATAAAACTCCTGACCTCAAGTGATCTGTCCGCCTCAGCCTCCCAAAGTGCTGGGATTACAGACATGATGGGATTACAGCCATGGGCCACCGTGCCTGGCTATGGCTCCCTCCCTATCATGCTGAGGCAATGGGGATAGGTGACAGTGACTGAGGTCAGAGCCTTTTCTCACCTGCCCCTCCTCTGCATCATGATCAGGTGGTGAAAACTCAAAGCAGTAATGTTTGCATTGGCCTGGATTTCCCAAAGTGTAACCAAGCCTCCATTTTCTTCTAATTTTCAGGTCAAAGTGGGAGATACATTGGATCTTCTCATTGGAGAGGATAAAGAAGCAGGAACAGAGAGAGTTATGCGGATTCTCCTGAAAAAAGTGTTTGAAGAGAAGACTGAAAGTGACAAATTCAGAGTGTTGTTACGGCGGTGGAAAAACTTAAAGTTGCCTAAGAAGAGAATGTCTAAATAAATGGATTGCTTTTTTAGCAATAAAGCTGCTTTCTAGTGGTAGAGGAAAGGGTCAACTAAAAAAGAGGACGTTTTTATTAAAATAAAGTTCTCTTAGTGTTTGTGGAATCTGCTGAGCCATTTTGTGGAAATTGGGATTCATATGTGGAGACACTGCCCAAGGCCTGCCCCTCCCCACCACTGCCCACCTTGATTCATGCTCCTTCGACCTCCTCTGTGAGAACGCTTTTGCCCAGAGTGAGACGTGTGCAGAATGAACTAAGCCCCAGAGGGCTCTAATGGCTTGCCTGCTGTTTCCCACATAAACTACCTCAGGAGTCACTGTAAAATAAACTGGCCTTGTTGTCTCTTAGTGTTTTTATTTAAAATGTTCCCTGTCCAGCTGGGCCAGATTCCCAGCTTCAGGCTTCTTTAGGCAAAACCAAGCAAAGTCAAGGTACCTTCAGATGGTTAGGGGAGACCCTCTGGAAGAGCCCTTTCTCCCCTGCCCTTCTGAATTACCACCAAGGGCACTTAGTTCCCTTCAGTGTGTCTTCACAAGTCTGGATAAATAAAATTGTTACAACTAATTTCAAACCAGCTAGTTAGAGCCCATTTGAAATTGTTTGGGCCAGGGGTCCATAAACTAAGGTGGCCAAAGACTTGTTTTTGTATGGCCTTTGAGCTAAGAATGGTTTTTACATCACACACACCCAGAGACCTGTGGCCTACAAAACCTAAAATATTTACTTTAAAAAAAACGTTTTAGGCTGGGCGCGGTGGCTCAAGCCTGTAATCCCAGCACTGTGGGAGGCCGAGGCGGGTGGATCACGGGATCACAAGGTCAAGAGATCGAGACCATCCTGGTCAACATGGTGAAACCCCGTCTCTACTAAAAATACAAAAAATCAGCTGGGCATGGAGGTACATGCCTGTAATCCCAGCGACTCAGGAGGCTGAGGCAGGAGAATTGCCTGAACCCGGGAGGCGGAGGTTGCAGTGAGCTGAGATCATGCCATTGCACTCCAGCCTGGGTAACGAGCGAAACTCCGTCTCAAAAAAAAAAAAAAAAGTTTTGGCTGGGCGCAGTGGCTCACACCTCTAATCCCAGCATTTTGGGAGGCCAAGGCAGGCAGATCACCTGAGGTCAGGAGTTTGAGACCAGCCTGGCCAACATGGAGAAACCCCGTCTCTACTAAAAATACAAAATTAGCCAGGTGTGGTGGCACATGCCTATAATCCCAGCTGCTGGAGAGGCTGAGGCAGGAGAATCACTTGAACCCGGGAGGCAGAGGCAGAGGTTGTGGTGAGCCTAGATCACACCATTGCACTCCAGACTGGGCAACAAGAGTGAAACTCCGTCTCAAAAAAAACTTTGGCCGGGTGCAGTGGCTCATGCCTGTAATCCCAGCACTTCGGGAGGCTGAGGAAGGCAGATCACCTGAGGTCAGGAGTTTGAGACCAGCCTGGCTAACATGGTAAAACCCTGTCTCTACTAAACAGAAAAACTAGCTGGGCGTGGTGGTGGGTGTCTGTAATCCCAGCTACTTAGACAAGAGAGTCACTTGAACCTGGGAGGCAGAAGTTACAGTGAGCCAAGGTCATGCCATTGCACTCCAGCCTGGACAAGAGTGAAACTGTCTCAAAATTAAAAAAAAAAAAAAAGCTGTTAGCTGAGAACAGTGGCTTACACCTGCAAACCCAGGATTTTGGGAGGCCAAGGCAGGTGGATCACTTAATCCTAGGAGTTTGAGACCAGCCTGAGGGCGACATAGCAAGACTTCATCTCAAAAAAAAAAAAAAAAAAAAAGGCCGTATTTTTGTAGAGGTGGGTTCTCTGTTGCCCAGGCTGTTTCCAACTCCTGGGCTCAGGTGACTCACTTCAGCTTCCTAAAGTGCTGGGATTACAGGCATGAGCCATTGTGCTTGGCCAATGCCTAAAATATTTACTATCTACAGAAAAAGTTTTTTGACCTCTGGTTTAGGGTAAAGATTTAATTTTTGGGTGAAAAGAAACATACCTGTTTCATCAGTAAAGAGAACAAAACAAATTCTTAAAGTGTCATAAAAGGGATGAAAGCTTAACAGAGTAGTATGGTGGTGTAGACACACATAATGTACATCATCTAAGAAAGGACATATGGATAAATAGGCCAGTCTATAGATTCCCAGGAGCTGTCTTCTGGCACTTGAAGGGGTCATCTCCACTAAGAGATTTGTTAGATTACGTCACATCAAAAAGACTGGCAGACCCAGGCGGAGTGGCTTACACCTGTAATCCCAACACTTTGGGAGGCTGAGGCAGGTTGATTACTTAAGGTGAGGAATTTGAGACCACCCTGGCCAACATGACAAAACCCCATCTCTAGTAAAAATACAAAAATTAGGCATGGTGGCACACGCCTGTAGTCTCAGCTACTTGGGAGACTGAGGCAGGAGAATTGCCTGAACCCAGGAGTCAGAGTTTGCAGTGAGCAGAGATCACACCCCTGCACTCCAGCCTGGGTGAGGAGGGAAAGACTGTCTACAAACAAAACAAAACAGACAAAAAAAACTCTGTATCTGGGCTCTTATTTGCCCCCTCCCCAGGAATTCTTGAGAATCCTGAATTAGCTGGCAGTGAAGAGAAACTTCTGTAGCCCAAAGCAGTGGGATATTTGGGCCCATGTGTCTGGAATTGTTTAACCAGCTTGTTTTTCATAAGACTCAGGAAAAATTTTTTGGTTTTTTTTGAGACGGAATCTCTGTCACCCAGGCTGGAATGGCACAGTCTGGGCTCACTGCAATCTCTGCCTCCCAGGTTCAAGCGATTCTCCTGCCTCAGCCTCCTGAGTAGCTGGGATTATAGGTGCCCGCCACCACGCCCTCCTAATTTTTGTATTTTTAGTAAAGACAGGGTTTCACCATGTTGGGTAGGCTAGTCTCAAACTCCTGACCTCATGATCTGCCCGCCTTAGCCTCCCAAAGTGTTGGGATTACAAGTGTGAGCCACTGCACCCAGCCAATTGATATTTATTTGAAAAGTTAAAGTCTCAGGGAGAAATAATATATACTATGCAGTGTAACATGGGTTTTCTATTTTACCATTTGTAAATTTGGCTTTACTGAGTCATCAGTAAAAATGGTAGCTTAATTTCCACATGAGTTAGTTATGAATTTTTTTTTTTTTTTTTTTTTTTGGATACAGAATTTCCCTCTGTCACCCAGGCTGGAGTGCAATGGCAGGATCTCAGCTCACTGCAACCTCCACCGCCCGGGATCAGATTCTCCTGCCTCAGCCTCCTGAGTAGCTCCAATTACAGGACCCTGCCACCACACCCAGCTAATTTTTTTTGTTTTTAGTAGAGACAGAGTTTCACCATGTTGGCCAGGCTGCTCTTGAACTCCTGACCTCAGGTGATCCACCCACCTAGGCCTCCCAAAGTGCTGGGACTACAGGCATGCACCACCACACCTGGCTAATTTTGTATTTTTTAGTAGAGACAAGGTTTCTCCATGTTGGTCAGGCTGGTCTTGAACTTCCAACATCAGGTGATCTGCCTGCCTCAGCCTCCCAAAATGCTGGGATTACAGGCGTGAGCCACCACGCCCAGCCCAGAATTGCTTTTTTAATTTAAGATATAGTTCTTGCTTTCCCAGGAAAGTCTGAAAGTATTGCTACTGTCTGCAATTTTTAAAGGATGAACAATTTAAAGTTATGACTTTTGGAAGAGGACTATCCAGCCAGCTGTTTTACCAGTAATGGTAATCCTGTCCAAAGAAACAGATCTGCTCTAGGAAACATGGTGCTGATTTGATTGCATTTCCCTGCCAAATAGCATTTACTTTAACTTGTTAGCTCGAAAGTAGGGAAAATTTAAAAAATAAAATTAAAAAAGAACTTTATTTTTTTTTTTGAGACGGAGTCTTGCTCTATTGCCCAGGCTGGAGTGCAGTGGCGCAATCTCAGCTCACTGCAACCTCCACCTCCCAGGTTCAGCTCAAGTGATTCTCCTGCTTCAGCCTCCTAAGCAGCTGGGACTATAGGTATGAACCACCACACCCAGCTAATTTTTGTATTTTCAGTAGCGATGGGGTTTCATCATATTGGCCAGGCTGGTCTTAAACTCCTGACCTCATGATCCATCCACCTCTGCTTTCCAAAGTGCTGGGATTACAGGCATGAACCACCACATCCGCCTAAAAAAATAATTTTTTAAAATAGCACTTACTACTTTTCTTGGGGGATAATTTTAATGTCATGTTTTATTTGGGCAATAATGGTTGGGGATAAGACAGGAACATCACTGGCTTTCAAGAAACTGGAAGAAAACATTTCAGTTTGAGGTGATGGCGTATGCCCTGTAAAATGAATTTTGCTGTTCTGTCTATATATTTTAAATTTTACAAATGGATTAAATTTCCCCTTGCATGTTCAGGATGGTTTTTAAGATCCATTCAAGGCATTATAGGAACATGGAATCTACTGCTTCTCACTGCTGCCTGATAAAGACCAAAGTGCATCCACCATATTTTGCCTACCCATGCTCCCAATGACACTGTCCCAGACTGTACCCAGTTCCCCTCATGACTAATAACATAGTACTGCTACCCACCAGCATGGTTGCACCAGCTGCTTTCCCACCGGCACCCCACGAGAGTGCCTCAGACCCACGATCTCAGGCCCTGGTATTACCCAGCTTTCTAATTTTTGCCAGTGTAATACAGGTGTAAAGAGATTATTATTATTACTAGTATTTTGAGACAGAGTTTCACTCTTGTCGCCCAGGCTGGAGTGCAATGGCGTGATCTTGGCTCACTACAACCTCTGCCTCTAGGGTTCAAGGAATTCTCTAGCCTCAGCCTTCTGAGTAGCTGGGATTACAAGTGCCTGCCACCATGCCCAGCTAATTTTTTTTTTTTTAAAGACAGACTCTCACCCTGTCACCCAGGCTGGAGTGCAATGGTGCGATCTTGGCTCACTGCAACCTCTGCCTCCTGGGTTCAAACAATTCTCCCTCAGCCTCCTGAATAGCTGGGATTACAGGCACCTGCCATCACACGCAGTGAATTTTCTGTATTTTTCATAGAGACAGGTTTAACCCCGTTGGCCAGGCTGGTCTTGAACTCCTGACCTCAGGTGATTCACCCGCCTCAG